TTCCGGCCAAGTACGGTCACTGCAACTGGCGATGGTGCACCTGGTGTCAGTACCTGAAATGGACACAGTGAAGAAGAGATTAATGCGAGTTTTTTTAAAAATTAGTGAACGAATCCGACATACGCTTTTCGCAGCACTTCCGACACTTTTTCCAGTTTCGGTCGTTTCCACGGAGCGAGATTTACGTATACCAAACAACGAGCGTTTCAAACTGCGTGTATTTTTTGAAGTACTCGTTTCCATTGTCTCAAATGCTTTGGCCATTAGACGCACCGACGGCTGAGTACCACGGGCCAGTTCTATCCGACGAATTTGGTATAGAATATTTGTGCCTGGAATTTTACAAAACATACCAGCAATGATGATCCAGTAAAAGTTCTGCGGTTCATCTCATCCGTTTCGATGGTAAATTGGTACAGGTGTGTACCAGAAAATCAATATCGCCATCAGCTTGCTTGTAAGCTGTTTCCTAATGAGCCATCAGTATCCTTGCAAACTTTTGACCGGCATCAAAGTGTTACAATTCAATTCAACAGTAGCCTCCTGATTTTAACTCACATAACGTTCATCATCTTAAGCCTTCTCCTTATTTTCTCCCCCCGCGTTCTCCTCTTCAGTTTATCCCTTGTTAAGTTCTTTGTTAAGCGTCGTAGATGTCCAATATCTCTTAACAATTTCATGAACATTCTAAATCATTCTATACAAATCTTCCCAAAAATCTTTTAAATCTTGTTATTTTAAGCGAAATGAAACAGGTAAAAAAATTTCTACCAAATTTAGAAGGGATAAGATTTTCGTCGCAACTTGATGGATCTTCTTTAATCCTAGCACTCTCAACACAGGAGCGTAGAAGATTTACCAGTATGTGAATTCGTTGAGGCTGAATGCTGGTGTTTCTCTATGAGCTGCTCTAAAAAAGTATTCAGCATTACCTGTACTATTTGTTCTGGAGTGCAGCTGTCTGAATGATGTGTCCTCGTCATCAAAAGTCGTTGACTGACTTTCCGACGCTAATCCACCGCCATCATCCTGTCGGTCGCGTGATCCGGAGCGTGATATGCTTTTTGGAATGTAGTGCAAGCGCCCATCCTTGTCATATTCTACCGCTTTTTCTTTGTCTAAAACATCATGCAAACTACGAGTTAAGAAAAAAACAGTCAAGTTTCTGCAGATATCGCGTCATTCTCGCACTTCAGTCAGCGATCTACGACAGTTGATGGAAAAAAACTAACTTGAATTTTGGAATTCTCAGAAAACGAAAATATTGACATATGTTTTAAAATGTTGTTTTAAAATTTGCTTTTCAAGAAATGCTCGAGAGAGAAAAGCGTCGTCAGCCTACTAGGCTGGTGGCTACTATAACTGGGATATTAGAGCTTGCGATGCTCTAATAATGAAGAGCGCCGTGGATTCTGAGCACTGGGAACCAAAAGTAAAATGGATGCAACTTACTCAGGATGAAACTAGGAGGAGGATCCGGGAATGCTGAGATTTTCTTGATCGGCGATTGAACACCGTTGGCAAGAGCTTCGAGCTGTCGAATGTCCACTGCCGAGATGCTTTCGCTTATCGGTGCCACTACTGTTGCCGTTCGCCGTTTCGCATCATCAGCGCTTCAATTGTTATTTTGCAGTACAAGTTATGCAATTTCTCAAATATTTCAAATGATCTAACTGAGGCGAAAACAGTTACATCTATTTTCCATAGTTTTTTCAATAATTTCATTGCGGCTAAGTTAACGTTTAAGCTTAATCGTTCTCAGAACTCGCACCCATTTTGCACAAGCAAAGCAAATTTTTAT